CTGACGTCCTCGCTGCGTAACGCGGCCACCCATCGCTCGGCCTTCGGGTTCGTGAAAGGCACTTGGGCCGGGGATCTTCTGACAGGCCCACGCGACGGGCTACGCATCGGCCCATTTGCACCCGCCGTGAGTGCATGCAGGAGGTGGGTGTAACTGCGAACGCCGGGCAGTGTCAATTCGTCGTCAGAACAGACAAACAGGCCGGACAGAGACGACGAGTTGACTCTGTCCGGCGTTCGTAGAGAGACCGTCTGGAGTCTTCGTAGCTGGTGCGCTTCTTCTTGGTGGATGCTATATATATACTAAAGGGCGAAACAGCTTCTGAAGAATATCAACCTAAAAAAAATTGCTCGACCTTCACGCGATGTGATGTGTCTAGACAGCGGAAGCAAGGTCGTGTAGTGTTTTCCCGCCATAATTAGCATGGAGACTGAATTGGTGCAGAGGTGACGTGAATTAAAACTTTTAGCTAATTTTAGGGCGGAAACTGGATTCCTTTGATGTTTTACGCCGCCACGAAACCGGGGGGACGGGCCACATACAGTTGTTTTACAAAAAGTGTAATATCCAGACATGTAAGTTGCGCGTCACACGCGGGAGACACAAACCCAGAGCCTCAGGGTTAACGTTTATTGCAAGTTCTATGGACTATAAATGAAAGCAAAGAACACATGAGAGACGAAAACGGGATCCGCGTGGCGGCTTTCATATACCAACTTGGGAGGACGCATTGAGGTGTCGGCTTGGCATAGGTCCACATCACAGCATCCTAGGCTGCTGCCATGGGGATCTGCAGGTGGCGCCCGTTTTTTTAGCTCATGTGTTCCTTGCTGAAAAGGGGGAGTTGTTGCATCGACTTTAAGATTAAATAATTTGCATCTGATTATTTTTACGTTGTTTACCGCGTCCCGGAGGGTAGAAAAAACATCTCCTTCATTAAAAATGTCGCCCTTCCACTGCATTGTCGCAAATCAAAACCCGAGCTTTTTCCCCGCCTGCAGCCGCGAGTGGAAGAAAGAACTACGGCGACAAACTTAGGTGACCTCGCTCGGCTTTAAGCTGCAGCATAACGCCCGCTAATATCAGCAGAGAGAGGGAGATGAAGCGTCCTCCGAGAGAGCACTCGCGAACCTACACGACACCCCAAATTACGTCACTAGGACTGCGATTAGGTGTGACCCTGAAGACTCTGAGTGAGTTGAGGGGTGCCAGGTAAGACACGGAGGCGAAATCGGTTTTCTGCTCTTTACTTCAAAATTTTCAGAGCGCAATTTCCGCACATTTTTGACCGAAGTCCGGAAACTGTTACACCCATCTTTATTATACGGAATGCCCAAGGCGAATGATAAAGTGATATTAGGTTTAAACCCTTAAACACAGCCTGCACTGTGGCACTGAGCACTATGGCATTGTTCATGGCGTAGGTCAGGAACAATGCCTTAGCGCAGAGAGTTTCTTTTAGGTCTAAGCATATTATTATACCCGTCATTCACCTAGGGCCTTGCGTAGATTGTAGCGATTGTCTCTCCAAAGCGCTTTTCTGGAGAGCAGACAATCCAGATTTTTTTACCGTGTACCTGCCGCTGTTTTGTCGGCGTCAGTAACCAGGTGGAGGGGCTTAGAGCGATAAACTGGTATCCCGTTCAACGTGTAAAACTGAGCCCCACTTGGCTGCCGCCATTTTGTGAAATTTTGTCCACTGTACAGGTGACCGAACCAAATCCCGTGGCTTTCAGGCAAAACTGAGCCGAGATTTGTTTATTGGGATGTTGTAAAACCACGATCGACTATTTTTTCAACACCGTTAGCCCCAAAGCCCCTTCATGTTTCAAAAGTAGCGCATGTGTTAGCCCCATTGATCAGTGTCTAGCTCCAATAAAAACCCAAAGTACAGCACAGCGGCCGACGGCATCTAGTGGAGGCATTGAAAAGCTGCCCGAGGTTTTGTCGTAAAAACACAATTTGGACTTACAACATATCTCTATTATATCCATACTAAAAAGAAGGAAAAACAATATATCGAGTAATCTAGCCAAGTTATGGACTTATGTACCATAGTCACCACAGTTTATACAAGCGGTGTGGGACATAGTCCGCTCTAGCTTTCCTGCTCCCTGATTATCTTTTCGTCGTAATCAGCGGCTAATGAAGCTATTTTATTGGCTGCGATAATAGCATACTTTAAACTTGTCACGGCATGCCTTCTTAACCTGTATGTGACGGTCGTCTTTTGAAAAATTAGTAAGGCTGGATAATTGTGATAAAGATGAGGGACTACACTGTTAGCAAGTCCCGTATATTTGGTAAATATTTGGGGTGAAAAACACGCCATTTACACAAATTGCATAAATTTACACGCTGAGTAAAAGATAATTGGTTTAAAAATCATGGGAAGTTGTAAAAAACGTGTTTTGGTTCGGTCATACACGCATAACCGTGTAGCCGACCTCGAAATCACGCATCACCACCGGCGTCGACCGCAGCATTGCCAGCTATTGAAGCACCGGAATGCCTGGGGACACAACTAGAAAGGACCGTGGAGAAGAGTTTAGAGAAGAAAAACATGTCTCGGTGACAGATATGCACCAAAAGCAATTGCGCCACGTCGCAGGACGTTTGCGAAGCCTCCGCTTCTCAGGCGCTGCCATTGATTGTGGTCGATGGCAATGCGGCTTCCCTCATGTTGCCTATGTTTGTATTTATTTTAGGGGTATGGATAATAGTTTCTTACGCACCATAAATAAACCTATGGGTCTTACTACTCATTCTAAACAGTTAAAATGGATATAAAAAGCGTGCCCTCGATTTGAACACGTGACATTGCCGTTGGTTTCATTTTGGCTTTAACCCTTACAATGCAAGCGGAACGGCCGTAAGGGGAGGGGGGGGGGGGGGGGGGGGGGGGCAAGGTGCCGCCGCTTCTATTGCCGCTTCCCATGAACCTCCTCAGAATTTACGGCGCTCCGTGGTGGCCGCCATATTAAATCTTTACACCAGTGGTGCTTCATCTGTCGGTCATCTTTAAGTTAGAGCTGAAAGAAAATTTCTGGCCACGGTGCAAGACCGATGTACGCTGGAAGCTAGAGCCGGTTTGCTTTCGTTGTTTTTCTTTGGTCGGAGAAAATCTGGCAACAAGGCACGTTTAACATGGCGTCGGTATTGTTTTGGTTTGACGGGACTTGAGAAACTCCGCGGTTTCCGATCACATGTTGCAAAGACATGACCGGAGAAGTGCCCCTTGTGTTGTTCCCGGTCGACGGAAAGTGTAATTCGTAATCGTCGTGTGTGCTTTGAAACTTGCAAGCGAAGGGAGTCACAGGGTCCACGAGTGCACAACCACAAGCCAATGTTCACGACAGCGCTGCGTTGACTTCGACGATCTCCTTGTTGGCTGCAACACGGTGATGCAAAAAAGAGCTGAGACGTTCGAGGTATGGGTGTGTGGTGCGGTGCTTGGAGGTGGAAACCCACATTAGCAGGGAGCGCAAACTGGTTGTTGTGGGGTTGAGGTTCAACGGGTTCAGTCCCGTCGTCGTCAGCTGATCCGGTCCAGCTGGTTCGGGAGGACGCAGCGAGCGTTTTTAAAAGTAAATCTTTATTCGTTCCGTTTCAAAATGTAGAAGATTCCCGACGCATACCCTAAGTAAAAAGCTGCGGGTGTTTTTAACAAAATTACGTCGTTTTAATTTAACAGTTAACTCCGAATTGTTGTCCTAAACCTGCCGTTTTAATGCTTCGTGTTGTTGGATTGCGTTTGCTCAGCGACGAGTTTGCACAGCGGCGCACACCTCTCGAGTAGATGATTTGGTGATCTAAACGACCTGTTATACAGAATTTGAGAGAGATTTAAGTCACCACCGATATTTTCCTGTAAATCTCGTGCGAGTTTGCCGCGCTCATCATGCGGCGTGAGTAAATTATGGCAAGATTTCCTTCCTGTCCACAGATGAATGATCTGAGACGATTTTTACGTAGTGAATAAAGCGCTTTTTTATTTTGGGCAGAGGCGGTGGTGCATTTATTATGGTGCAATCACTTGAGAGTTCAGAAATTGGGAGTATTGTGATATGCAAAAATTTTTTGCATTTCACAATGCTTGAAAAGTCAGAAAAAACTGCAGTAGTCTGCACATTCGTTTTCGGAACATGTGTGTTGAATTGCGAAGCCGCCTGCAAGCAGGACGATATTTGTTTGCCACTTTTTATCCCCTTGCCGTTTGAAATTCGAAGCTCCAAATTCCCGTGTTCCAGATGTCGAAATAGGAAAAAAAACATTTTGAGAACGAGCGTGAAACCGATATTGAAAATGTTTTCGCGTCTTCTAAAAGTAGTACCACTGACGTTAAAATAACATGAAAAACTATTTAGAGTGTTGACTTTGAAGAACTGTCTAGCTTCGAAATCTTTCATTGTGCGATACCAAAGAAAAAAAAATACTTTACATATATGTCTGTAGTGCGAAACTGGAGCGCAGCTCTTGAGGACTAGGAGGGGAGGGTATGTCTCTCTACTTTTTCCTCCCCTCCTCCCTCTCCTCCTTTTCTCCTCCTCTCCTGCTGCCACTGAATTCGTTCATGGGTGACGTGACACGAACTTCGGACGTTATTTTCCCCGCTATATTTAGCGGCGAAATTAAATGTTTATTGTGGTCTTGTGAGGTCAATTTACCGGCTAAATTTAGGGGGGAAATTTTTCCGCTAAATTAAGCGGGGAACGTTTTCCGATAAATTGAGGAGGGCAACGTACCATAATGCAACGCGCTCTTACGCCGACGGCGACTCCGCTCAACCCGTAAACGGGCGCCTAAATTGGCGCTCCAAAACTTGACTCGTCAGAAGTAATGCCCCCCCCCCCCCCCACCTCGGATTTCTGGAAGAGTAACTGAAGCCTGGTCACATTTTACTGTGCAAATAGACAAACCTAATTATTTTTTTTTCAATGACGCACTGGTGCCAAGAAGTAACGCAGGGTTTTTTGTTTTTTTCAAGAATAACAACGAGGTTTATATATATCAGGGCCGCTTCACTCCTGAATTGAAAGAGTGAGTTGCATTTATTGTGCTTCAAATGTGAGTATTGTATGAACATGATGATTCTCGAAGCGAAGGCACTTAGTAGACGACGGTGCCGACTGGGCGGTGCACGAAGTGTCCACCTCTGCTCTGGTGCACGGAACTGTGAGAGCCGGTCACCACTGGAGCGTGGTGCACCTGGGCCTGGTGGTAGGTGCTGACGAAAGTAAATATATTTCGCATGTTAATGCCACTCCAAAAAAAAACAAAAAAACTTCCGATTATTGGGTTGCTCAACACCATTAGTTTTATACTGTTAAACTAGCTCTGTTTTGTACTGCTGTTATTATTAACAATGTAAATTTCAGTTTGCGCAATATTCTATATGTGTTGGTATTATATGATCCACACAACCTTTCATGTGAAGCTAATTCAAGTAAATGAAACACTTTATCGGCGCCCTTGCACTGGTGGCATGCCCAACAAATTTAAAACGCTCAAATTATATGTATGCATGAAATCCATTTGTCATGTAGGATCACGATAAGAGAGCTCGTTGTTAGTTCATAAATATAAATATGCTCCAAGTTCCATTTGCTGTACGCGTAAGTCCTTGAGAGCGCTGATTCTCAAAAGGTGACTGCTTTCTAAGAAAGGGGTATGTCACTCACCCGAAGAATGGGTCGTGCTTGGTGACGGTGGTCTTGGGGTGGACGACCTTCTGTTGACTGATGGTGTACCCGTGGGCGTGTGGTGGCACGTAGGCCACCTCGCTGTGGTGCTCCACCACCGGCTGACGCACCACCGTGGTGGCCACAGGGACGTGGACGGCGGCAGCGTGGTAGGCGTACGGTGCCACATATCCGGCCTGGCAGCAAGTGGCCAGGAGGACGAGGCAGGGCACGAGGGTGGCCTGTAGGGACAATGCGGAACAGGCTTTTATTTACAAGGTATAAGGGAAAACATCTGGACGCAGTATTTTAGTGGGTTGTTGAGAGCGTACGAGCAAACCGTGGCTCCGATTATCACTAGCCAGAAAACACAATCCACGGACGTTGCGAAAGCGATATAGAAGCTTGCGATATGGGTGACTTCAGCAGAAGCGAACTCAACATTGGCGACCCCTGAACATCAACTATTTCAAGATATGTCACTGGCTGAGATTGGCGGCGGCACTGTATAGTCAACGAGGAGCATGTACCGCGTTAACTCTGATGAGCCCCTACTCTTCTAGAACGTTGACGATTGAGGGCACCAGAGATGTATCGTGGACGCCAAGAAAGTTAAATGTTCACTTTTACTCAAAATTGTGTACTGATGTGGAGCAACGGGTAGTAAACTGCCTTTACGTTCCATTTTTTATATATATGCAGAGACAAAACTCAAGCCGCTGCGAAGAATAACCAGTTCGTAATGGAACCGTGATACAGGAAAGTCTTCCGATCTCTGTTTAGACAGCTGAGTTAATCCAGAAACTTAAAAATGAAAAGGTCATAAAAATATTTAGTGTTACCCGTAAATAACTTTAATCCCTGCACCAACTGAAGTTGCCGCTGGCTACTGATACGTAATCCCTTACATCGAAGCGTGCACTATGTGTACTCACGAAGGTGTTCATGTTGTATGTGGACGGAGTTGCTTCGATGAACACGCTTGAGCGAACCGTGTGCTGACAGGGCAGTCACAGGTGTGATTTTATAGGCGGCAATGAGGAAATCCTGAAAAGTGCCCTGAGCAAGTTTTCTCGCAGGCCGCGGTCAGCCACACCTATGTTTTTTGTCGCGACACTGCAAAAACTACTCATGGTGTTATCCTCGCTGCGGCTGCCTTGAGAGCGGTCAGCAGCAAGAGCGAAGTTTAGCAGCCGTACTACCGGCATCTCATCAAAGTGCACGACGCGTTCTTTTACCTGCGGGAGGCGGCTGCAAGTCGCGGTGACTGCGTCTGAAATTATTAAGATTGTCTTTCTTGTGCACCGCCCTTTTCATTGGGGTCAAATAGCCATTTGTGAGTGGTCCACTCCAGGCCTTTGATTCCACTTATACTATTCAGTTGCACTTTTTGTGCAAACAAATAGTGTTTGACATGTTAAAATAGCTTTTCATAAATATTAGGGCCACACTTTACAGATAATATAGTTTTTCTTTTAATTTTTTTATTTTTATTTTTCATATTTGAACGTCCAATATTGTAAAATTGACACTCAGCTCCAGCGACACACTGGCAGAACACTTTAAAAAAAAAATCCGGTGAGTCTACTTTCCTGCACAACATTCGGAGAGCCAATCACCGCAACCTAAGGAGGCAGCTCAGCGTAAGTCGATGCCGAAACATGTATTTAGACCAACAAACGCACTGTGATATTAAAGAATGCAGAACGTCACGCTTGCATTGCTTGATGTCACAACTCAGACTGCGTTTTTTTTTGGGGGGGGACTAAACGTATGTTTCGTCATCGTCATTGTATGAGCTGCCTCTGTAAGTTGCGCAGATTGGCTCTTTATGTTTTCTGTGGGACAGTGGACGCACAAGCTTTTTTAGTGTGTGAAATTAATGATATTCGCTTCACATCTTTAATAGAATTTCGCAAAACACGACATTATAATTTTTAGTAATGCTGGATGTAGTGCCAATACCAAGAAAGAAATAGGTCAGCATTTGCTGAGAAGTGAGCAGCCAATAGTCTCATATATTGTTTCTTTTCCTGCTTTGCCAAATTGAATTTACCTTGGCCTGAAGCAATCCATTTTTCTTCACATATTAAAAGTTTATTTTTGGTGCTTCGCTGCAGCACTCATACTCGGCGTCCTTTGGCTATGTCAAAGTATTTTTTCCATGCAAGAAACTTGTGCATGTCGGTTATTTTAAACATCTTTTATTAAATCTACGCAAATAAAGATGAATCAAACATTTATAACATTTACAGATAGAGCTAGGATATCTTTATTTTGTCTTTGTTTTTAAGTACGTGACATATGTATTTCGTGGGATCTTGCCGGGGTATCTTATGTGAAGCACAACCCTAATAAAGTGTAGTATATCCCCCATCCTCCACTTTTGTTTGCCTTCTTTCTATGATGCTCGTTCAATTCAGTGCTAGGTTAGATACGAAGAAAATAGCGGAAGAGAACTTCTTTTCCGAATATGTGCGATGGTGTACATTACTTTTGACACGTTCTAAGCATCATGATAGAAAGCAGCTAGCTGGCTTCATGTGTAAGCGTAGACGACAATTTTGAAAACGGCAATCACTATACAATTCTTTCAGTGCATTAATTTTTGGGACACGTCAGCAAATATACAGTTTCTTTCTCGTGCACCCCAGCATCAGAGTAAATATTTTGTTTTATGAAAGCCTGTTTGTATCGGGATGAGCATCGTTCCCGCGCGCATTTGAATATTACTACTGCGAGTTCGAACACTCGCTTTCAGGCACGCTGCTCTGGCTACAATTCTTACCTAGATCGAAGAAATCAGATGCCCCTTGAACTAGACTTCCTTCATATTGCCTTAGTCATTACTACAAATTACTTATTTTTGGAGATTGAAGAGTTGAAATCGTTGTATTTTGTTTAGCATGATCTCGTGATAATTACCCATATCTTAGTGGAAGTGTTTATTCTGTCAAGGTTCGGTTTAATAAAATTACGTCTACCCAGTTGCATAAATTAGGTATACATATATTTATAGCATTTGTTTCTATAATTGTGAAAAAATACTATGACGGGAGATAAGGCTGCACGTAAGCGCTCTGTGTCGTAATCCGGTGGTGTAAGGATAAGTTTTTTGTCTTGTTGCTTGAGGTTTACGGATCACCAGTAAGACGAATAAGGCCCGACCAGAGTCCATATTATGATTGGGTCTGCAGTCCTGACTTTGACCGATATTTATGCATATAATGGATGTAAGCGTCTTGTAGCCGATTTTTATTTCAAGGACTGGTTTCGTGGATATTCGTGAAGAAATAATTAAGAAAAAACGGGTGTAATACGGGAGGTGGGGGAGGGGTGAATTAAAGAAATTTTCAACTTCGGGTGTGAGTGATTTTCTGTTACAAATTGCTCAGTCTTTTTTTCCATGGCTTGTAGATTTCCACTTCAGTCTGCAAAGCTGCGTAGCTTTAGCTGAAGTGGGTCAGTTTTGGACTGCTTTTCGCTTACGCACACAAGCAACATTCGGCCACTATATGGTGCCTGACAACGACGAAAAGCGCAATATGTGTAAACGTTTTTTTGTTTTTTTTTTTTTTTTTTTTACGGAATACATATGTTGAATTTGATGTACCTCTGTAAAACAAATATAACACCACACCTCCTACAAAACTCGGGTCAACCCATGCTTGTTTTGTTTCAAAAAGGTTACATGTCAGTCACTGGTCAACCACGATATGGTCGACTTCAGGCTAATTGAAATAATGCAAATCAAAGGTGTTAATCGAAAAATTATTTAAGCGCGTGGAACAAACATGGTTTCAGAGGCATGAACTATCCATGTAGGTCCTACCAGCGGCGTTTAATTGAAGATATTTTTTTCTTTAAATCAAGCGTTTAATTGCATTTGCCGAAACGGAGGAGTTGAAACTGGTTGATACGAGTGCTTTATAAGCCTAGATATATTGTCTCGCAAAGTGCTAAACTTGTTTGATTTCGCTCTTCATTTTGCTCTCACTTGAATAATTGTACGCTGATTTGGGCCACCACAACACATACTAACTTACATAAAATATCCATGTTAAAAAAAAATGTTATCCGTATAAGTCCTCATTTGCAGAAAGGACAGGAGACTCGTCATCTATTTGTTCACTTCTAAATTGTAGATACATTTAGGCTACATCTCTATTTGTCACTATGAAGCTACAAAACCGAGCAAGTAAGGCATATGACTACCATTTCCGTGCTAGCTTCTTCACGTTCATTCGAATCGTCGTATCCGCACTGCCATACACCACGCTGGATGATGGGCTCTCGTGAGTACCAACTACGGTCGCCAGAAGATTAACCACTAATTGGCGACCACTTAAAATTGACTTCTTGAAGCAACTATAACTTTTTCCGTTGTCTCCAAACACGTAATTCCTAAACACTATTTTGTTAACTAACGCTTCTTCTGTTATTGTTGTTTAATGTTTTTTTTCTGATTTGAGCACGTGCCACCTTACGTTTCAGCATGTAACATCTTAAGTTATGTTTGGTTTAGTCTACGTGAGATATGAGAATATGTGCGTATTCGTCTTTTGTTTGTCTTCCGAAACCGTTTGTAGTCCAGTCACTACCTAATGTAAAGGAATTGAAAACCTAATCACGTAAGTTATCGCTTTTTTCTCTCCTCCTTCATCACTTTGTAATAATGGCAAATAAATATTATTATTATTATTAGTAGCAGTAGTAGTAGTAGTATAGTACTCAGAAATAGTTCGCGCGCAGCATTCAAGAATACCCCATTTCGCATATTTCTACAGAGTGTTGTAAAGCAGTGAATATTCGCGAGACTTTATAATTTTCGCAAGCCTCGCAAACTCTAAAACTCGCGGATTTTAACGACACGCGTATAACTTTCGCGTCTTGAGATTCCGAATTGATCCAGTTTTTAGAATTTGTAAAATTCATTGGTCGCGAATATGACCCCCTTAAACAAATCGCCGATAACGTTGTCCGTGAAACTAACAAGGCATTACACGATATTTATTTTTTGTGAAAACCTTGTTGCTTATTTTTGTTACCGGTAAATTTCTTTTCCACTTCTGGTTGCAGGTAATCGACAGATCTAATAACGGCTCCATTCCAGATCTATAATGAGCAGAATCAGGCAGATCAGTATTTTAACCCCACGTTATAGCAAACAAGAAAAAAAAAAAAAAGGTAGACTAAATTTGATTTGGAAGCATGCTGTTCGTGTAAGATTTATAAGATTTCAGTCGCATAAGAAAATTAGTTATCTGCGCTACATTTTGAACTCTTCTTGTTCAGGTTGTGCATATGGAAATGCACGCTGAAAGAACCCAAGCACAACAGTCTGTATCTGCCATACTGGGTAGTAATTCAATTACTGTGATTGTATTACAGTAATTTAACTACTTCTCTCGGCAATCTGTAATCGTAATGAATTACTTTTTCTAAAACAAATTGTAATTTTAATTTAATTACTTTCTAGCGTCAGTAATGGCAAAATTGCATACAGAATTACAATTACTGTTGCAAAACTTTGTGGAGCCGACGGAACCCCTCTGAAAACCTCAGCGCTCGCACAAGCGGCCTATTTCTCAGTGAATTAGTCATGCACAGACACAAACTCACACACGCTTAAAACATAAATAGCGTCGCATTGTTTGCTGTTCTGTTGCTTACACTGCGGGCTGAGAGACAATCCTCTTTGGAGTCTGCCCCTTTCTGATGCGAGCAGAAAGAAATAGCGTAAACATACCAAACTATTGAAAGAAACAAAATTAAACTTCAGATTTCAGCCGAGGTTGGGAATTTTATTTGTCGATGAAGTTTTTTTTTTTTTGACAGTTTTTTACGGCCCTCTTCCAGTGCTGTCCCATATGTGTATCGTTGTATTATTTTCAAGTTTATTTCATGTTGGTTTTTCTTGTGGTATTATTGGCATAAGCGCTTTGGAGACTGACCTCGGACCCGTGAATATTGTCACCGAT